CCCATGGTGTACGGTCCGCCGCCGAGCATCGCGGGTGGTGCCACCCCCGTTGCACCGACAGACATTTACCCCACCGTCGACAACGTGGTCGTAGGGACGACTCGTTCACGGAGGGCGTCTCTACCCACACAGAGGTCAGAGTCTGCGAGGTAATAATGTATAAATAGACGAAATATCGATCGAAGTCGTTTCGATTCTTCTTTGTCGTCCTTCGGCTCTTCTTTGACCGGGGCTCGATCGAAGAAGAAGGATCTATTATCGCGAATCAATAAATTTTCCTCCTCTTGATTCCCTTGTTTGACGAAAGAAAACGAGTCGTAACGCGAATTTCCCTTTCGATTTGATCGTTTCGAGGGAGATTTCACAAAGATGCTTGTGTCTTTCGTCGACAGTAGTGGGAGCACGGAATCCCCGAAGGCGCGCGGTGGTAGCGGTGGCACAGGGAGCTCCGTCAGCTCTCCATCGCCTGGAAGTGGAACCAGCAACGAGCGAGCACCGCCGAGCCCCAGCCAACTTTGCGCCGTGTGCGGCGACACGGCAGCGTGTCAACACTACGGCGTTCGTACCTGCGAGGGGTGCAAAGGATTTTTCAAGAGGACCGTGCAAAAGGGCTCGAAATACGTGTGTTTGGCCGAGAAAGCTTGCCCCGTTGACAAACGCCGGCGGAATCGTTGCCAATTTTGTCGCTTCCAGAAGTGCTTGATGGTCGGAATGGTGAAAGAAGTGAGTGAGAATTACTCGAAAGTTTTTCCAAGAAAAGAAATATTCTCTTTGAAAAAAGAAAAAAAAAGAAAGAATCAAAGATGTTAAAAAATTGAAAGGCTTTCGATCGAAGATATAGATTTGATTTCGTTTTCGTTTCGTCCAGGTGGTCAGGACGGATTCCTTGAAAGGTCGGCGAGGTAGATTACCATCGAAGCCAAAATCCCCTCAAGAATCACCACCGAGCTCGCCGGTCTCCCTGATCACAGCTTTGGTCCGCGCACACTTGGACACGACACCCGATCAAGCAACCTTGGATTACTCGCAATACCGGCAACCCAGTCCTGGCGATCCACCCATCACAGAGGCAGAAAAGACGCAACAATTCTACAATCTTCTTACCACGTCCATCGACGTGATTCGAACGTTTGCCGATAAAATTCCCGGCTTCACGGACTTGGTGCGAGAAGATCAGGTTTGTACATCGTTTATTTATTAATTATTATTAATTATTCTTTTCCTAACTTCTTCATCTATCCCTCTCGGATAATTTCTCGTCTCGTATATATAAATCTATACGCGAGCTGCGTTATATCGTTTATTATGTATGGACGTGCAGACAATATCTGCGAGGGAAGGTTTCATTAAAGAGATCGATAGCTTGTACATTTTCTAAAAGGTCAATCCTGACGAGCCTACGACATGTCTAATCGACGATCCGATTGGTCGGTTATCTAGCTGCTGTGCTAGCCACGGAGGAAAAATAATATTTATTTTTTCTTCTTTCACTCTGCTTTTTCTCGAAACAATTTCAAAATTTCGATTTCCACTCGCAAATATTTCGCGAAATATTAATCGTGTATTTTTATATCCGTACACCTGATGATCTAACACGTGTTTTCGCGATTGTTCCTCTCCCCGTAGGAGTTACTTTTCCAGTCGGCCAGTCTGGAACTGTTCGTTCTTCGATTGGCGTACCGTACGAAACCGGAGGACACCAAGCTGACGTTTTGCAATGGCGTGGTCCTGGCATTGGAACAGTGTCAGCGTAGCTTCGGCGATTGGCTCCACAGTATTCTCGAATTCAGCAAAGCTCTTCACATTCTCGACGTAGACGCTAGTGCTTTCGCTTGCCTCTGCGCCCTTACCCTCATTACTGGTAAGTTTCGAAGAGAACGAAACCGTTCCACCACTTTTTCGAGACGAAATATATCGCACGATTTTTCACTGCCCTGGCCTGCCCTCGTTTCCGCCCGTTCGATGATTATCCATTAAGCGCGACCGTCTGCCGGATAAATTATTTATCGATCGACCGGTTACTTATTAATGAGACGGCGAAAAGAAACCGCGATCGTTCGTGCCCGCGTCGTTGCACGCGATACACGTCGACGCGATTTTCCTCGCGAGTCGGATGTGCGTGCTCCTTCTCGATCGGTTCAACAACGATATATCGTGGAATACACGTGGATTGCACGCAACACCGCCTCTGTTATCCTTCCGTTTAAATTGGCCAGCGAATCTGGAAACGCACGATCCGTAATTAATTACGTACGACAAATGATACGCTCGGGCACGAAATCACACTCGGCCGGATGAAAGCATCGATTGATAAAATATTGGGGTCTGTTTCTCTTGTTGAAATTACAGCAAGGTACGGCCTGAAGGAGCCTCATCGCATGGAGCAGCTACAGTCGAAAATAATATCGTCTCTTCGCGATCACGTCACCTATAACGCCGAGGCGCAGAGGAAAGCGCACTACCTGTCCCGTTTGTTAGGTAAACTACCGGAACTGAGGAGTCTGTCTGTGCAGGGGCTCCAGCGTATCTTTTACCTAAAACTGGAGGATCTGGTTCCAGCGCCACCCATGATCGAGACGATGTTCGTCGGTAGTCTACCGTTTTAATCGCCTTTCAATCGAGCCAAGCCTAAGGCTGCGTATTCGTCGCGTAGAACAATTCATCCTTGAGATCTTGTGCGGTTGCGTTACTACTCGATTAAGTTTCCTTAAGTTTTCTTACACGTGTACGTAGGTTCTACCATCTTCTTGCGTGTAACCCTTGTATGGTTTTCGCACGAGTGTCGACGCGCGAATCGTCACCTTAAGAGGGGTACAAACGAAGAGAGAGAGAGAGAGAGAGAGAGAGAGAGAGAGAGAGAGAGAGAGAGAGCGGATGAGAAGTCCTGTCGAAGATTCTGTTTCTCTCGAGGCTGACGTCTCCGCGTCTGGATGTTTTAGCGAAATATATAGATGCGTGTGTGCGATGGAGCATCGTGCCGCAAGTGGACGTTGGAGTGGATGCACGCGCGAATGGACGAGCCGGAAGACGTTGGTTTGTCGCTAAATTTAAGACAAAGTTCCCTGTGCGTGTATGGATGAGAGACGGGTGGATGAACGGGGCGCGTGTCTTCGTGATGTGTCAGCGGGCAGATGTGACTGCCCGACCTGACAACTGTTACTATTGTTACTATTATTATTACCGCTATTACTATTTTAACAGTGTACGATGTAATAACTATTCTTGCTATCGAAAGTATCGACGCCCGAGCGATTGAAGGTGGAACCCGGTTTCTCGGCGGATTCTCGGGGAGGGGGTGGCTTCTCTCGGAGGAGGAACCTGCGGCAGCTTGAAACAAACGTTGGATTTCCCTTTTCGCGAGAGAGAGAGAGAGACAGAGAGAAACGAGCGTGTTTCGTTATGCGTCGTCCCAAAAGGCGTCGTACGATACGTATGGGATGATTAATCACGACGGTGGTTCTCGTCGACTGGTAATATTAAGTGCTACGCTATATATTCTCGCAAAATATGCACAAAAGGAACGAAAAGAGAGAAAGAAAGAAAAAAAATAATAACGACGATATATACCATTATACCGTTATACACGTACATTATACGTACATTATCGTACACATGAATTTTTATCACTTTTCTACCTACTTTGTATAAGTCGCTACATCAACGAACAAAAAAAAAAAAAAACTACGTTTCTTTCATCGCTCGTGCCGCCACGATCGTCCTCGAGGATCCGCTCGATCGGGATTAATTTCTCTTCTTTCAGTGCAGAAACAAACCGTGTTACTTACTCACTTACTTACTTGTTATAGTGGAAGAGAAGGAAGAGAGGTGCATTGACGATTCGCAACATATCAGAGCAACGACGGAAGAGCGGAGACAAGATATCACGAATTACACACGTGCTAATTATATATTCCTCCATTCATCCTTCGTCCTATCACCCCTTCCCTTCCCCCTCCCTTCGTGTAAATCAATTTCGCTCTTCCGATAGTTGACAGTTTAGATATACGTAGGTCGTGACTGTGATCACACTCGAACGTAGCGATGATGCTAAAAAAAAAAAAAAAAAAAAAGAGAAAAAAAAAGAAGGGAAAAAAAAAAATTCTCACTTAGAATCTCCGCATTCCCCTATTTCCCTCCCCTCCCTCCCGATTTCTCTGTACTCGTATTCATTCGTAACTCGTATCCTTCGGCTTACTAGCTTCATCGATCCGAGGCCAATAGGTGCTCTCTAGCTTCCCTTCCTCTTGACCCTCGATCGCATGGAATTTAGTATCATTGGAAACGTGTGAGTGTCTTCCAAGTCACGTGGTCGGGACCCGTTTCGGTCCGAACAATTACCACACTATATTCTTGCGTTAATGTGATTTTAGACAGCTAAGGGAGAAGAAGAATGAGGTAGGGCCCGAATCAGGCCGATTCGGCTGCGCGATCCGCGTCCAAAGACGAGTAATCGAGAGAGAGAGAGAGAGAGAGAGAGAAAGAGAGAGAGAGAGAAGCGAGTAGAATTCGTCGATTTTCGCATCCACCGACCGATCGGCAGCGGCTTCGTTACGGGCCCGGCATAAAGTTACCTATTACGTTATGACATTTATTTTTAATCAAACTAACGTAGAAAATCCTATTTATACGTATACCGCGCCGCTATTACTACTTATACTATTACTTGCTACTTAATTACTTAATATTAATTAACTACTACTTACCGCTAGCGTTACGATCTTATAGCGTTATTGTCGCTACTACCGCTGTTACCATCCGCTACCTTTTTACTACCACCTTTGTGTTACCATTAATTATTGCTAAATGCGTAAGAAACATGATCGACGTTAAAACACTTCTTCGCCGCTGCAATATCAAGAAAGAAGATAGATATATATATATATACATATATCCTTTGGATATAGAGAGAGAAAAAAAAAAAAACTATCAATTCTGGAACGGATTGCACTGACTCGCGACTCCAAGCAAGGAAATAAATAGATGGAAAGATCCATACCATCTCGAGGAATGTATCGGATTGACGTGATCAAGGAATCGTTGGGTTGACGCAATCTTTCCATCACGGGCACCCTTATCAAATGGCAACCCTAACTGTTCGGCAATAATACTTTCCTCTTTTATGTGTATATCACTTGTCAACGTTAAAAGTACAGCCCAGTAAACCCGATCCAACGGATACAGCGTTTACGTCACACAATTACATTAAATCTCTTAGTGCACCTAATTTCAGAAAGGCACAAATCCACGTGGCGATCCGCCATTTCGTGAATCTTTTAACTTATCGAGAGGCAGAAAACACGTTAACACGATACATAATTAATGTGCACAATAGATATAAAATAATTATATGTGTATATGTTATACTTGCCGTGTGTATCCGCAAATGTTCAATGCTTCAATCAAGGAAATAGAGGATTCGATCATTCTCGATTTTCCTCGTTCGATTTCTGCGCAACCATAGTTCCTTCTAAAAAAATCGAGCTTCGTCTCTTTTTTTTCTATTCCTTTTCTTTCTTTTTCTTCTTCTTCTTCTTCTTCTTCTTCTTCTTCTTCTTCTTTTTCTTTTCTTTTTCCTCCTCTCTTAACATCGTTTTCGATCCATTGTTTATTCGGTACCGTTTCTTGCGTAAGAGTTATCGATCCCTTAGTAGCCATGTAAGAGCTTCCGTTTAACGATCTCTCTCGTTACGGAAAAAATAACACGGAGAAAAGAATGATAAACGTGATCAAGCTCAACATTGAATCGGCGTTCGAGCAGACGTAATTCAAGTGAACGTTCGCGATTAAGTAACGATTAACAAACAACACTTTTCTCCGTGTAAAAATCGTGCTTCAACTTGGCGTTGGCCACGTGTGTGAAGACGTTTGCGGATGGATACGATCGCAGATGTTCGGTGAAACGGAAGAACAATATAATGCCCGGCAAGAAAGCAAGGTACAAGTAATCCGAAAAGGGGGCACGAACAATCTCCGTGTTCCCGTTTTCGAAAATTAGGATAACGCGATAGGAAGCGGACGATCTCCAATTCGTCGATTTTCTTTTAAAATTCTCGTCAATTCCCGTTGGATCAATGCGATTAATGCGTCCTTTCCGAGGAAGCGTCCGAATTGATCCGTACTTTTGATCCACATACTTTTCGGATTACACGTCAGGGAAAGAATAATCGTACGTTTCCTTCGTGTGTGTATAGCGTATATGCATCGAGTCCAGAAGAGATTTAGAGGCTGAAAAGGAATTCGTCAAATTAATACGGTGCTATTAGGCTAATTGTGATTAACGAACGCTTAATGAATTCGAGAGTACTTAAGTTTCTTGTCCCGTTGCATGTAGACAACGGGGGAAGAATATTTTTGTTCCTATTACTTAAGAAAATTAAAGGAAGCATCGCGACAAGTTTCCAATCCCCTATTGGAGTGGAAACGATTTATCTCGTGATTGACGTTCTCCGATTACGAATCCATCAGATCTTTCCTGGACTCAACGCTGATCGGCGTTGCATTGTTTCTTTTTTTTTTTTTTTTTTTACGATGCCACTTACGTGTAAAAAAAGCGCGCGCGCTTTCCCCGCGATTCAGGGGGAAGTGATTAGAACAAGAAGAAATTCAAGAAAATGATCAAGCAATCGTAGATTTAAAGAAAGAAAAGGAGACAAGAGAAAAGCGAAACAGGATGAAATAAAAAAAGAAAAAAAAAAGAAAAAAAAAAAAAAATAAGG